TGATTGTAAATCATGCAGTGGTTCCCTTTGTTTGGACAACAATTTCTTAGTCTAGGTCTAGTTTTCATACGAGCACAATCAAGTGTTCTTGTGTTCCCAGTCTTCTCAATGTTAACTATAGATTGTTATCCACATAGTCAAATGCTTCTGCATAGTGAAGAAAACACACACAGATATCCTTTTCATATTCTCTGCTTTCAGCTAAGATCCATCTGACATGAGAAATTATGTCTCTAGTAGCATAGCTTCTTCTAAATTCAGCTTGAATTTCTAGCAGTTGTCAGTGCACTGTTCTAGCCATTTTTAAAATAATCCTCTGGAAGATTTTACTTGCAAGTGATACTGTTTGGTAATTTCCACATTCTGTTATACTACTTTTTTGGGGGGAGAATGAGAATAAATATGGATCTCTTCTAGTCAGTTGGCCAGATAGTTGTCTTCTAAATTTGCTATCATAAACTAGTGAGCATGCCCAGGGCTTCATCTCTTAGTTAAAACATCTCAATTGATATCTTATCAATTCTTGGGGCCTTATTTTTTACCAGAGTCTTCAGTGCAACTTAAACTCCTTCCTCCATTACCATTTGTTATTGATCACATGCTAGTTACATCCGATTATTTTTGGTTCAGTGGCTGTATATTCTCTCCCTCTTCTTTTGCTGCTTCCAGGATTATTCAAGATTATGCCCTCAGCATACTTCAATATTGCAACACAAGGCTCATTTTTCAGTTCTTTCAGCTTAAGAAATGCTGAGTGAGGTCTTATTTTCCAGCTGCAGCTCTTTTTGCCCATTTCACTACAACACTCTGCTTTGTCTTCTCATGTTGCCCTTTGAAATTTTCTGTCCATCTCTTTACTTTGTCACTCCTTTGCTTTGTTTTAGGATGATAACCATTAAAAGAGAAAAAATTAGGAATTTGAACTCTACTAATTCTTATTGTTTTATCACTTCAAAAGCAAGTGAGGCATCTATAGAAAGCTCAAAGGAATTGCTTTTATCTTAGTACTTACAGCATTGTCAAATGCAATCATGGTTGCCCGTGGTGGACAGTATTGATGGAGCTCTCAAATTAAAACAAACTTGGAAGCAGGAGTGACATCTACTTTTGAAATGGCTTGCCTCTACGAACTCTATGAACTCAGAGAAATGACTAAAGTTATACAAGTGTTCAGGTCTTTTGTTCATAGGGTCGTTATGAGTCATCTACAACTTGACAGCAATTAACTAGAATTTTTAGCACTGCCTTACTTCTCCAGGCAGTTTTACAAATGAACTAATGGTTCTTTTTTTCTGCAGCCATAACAGCTTAAGACTATTCTAAAATATGCCATATGTGTGATAACATTCTTCACTGCTTTACTAGTAAGATCATCACTTTTTATTTCTGATTTCAAATACAGAACATCCATCTGATGTAAATACTCTCTAAAGGAAAGTATTTTTTTGTTTCACAGAGTTTGAAAATTAAAGCTGTGAAAAAAAATATGTTTTCAAATTACAACAGAGAAAAAGTAGTAATTGTCCCACTACTATAAAGTAAACATGATGCCCACTTTGAAAATAACAACTACATATAAACAGCAAAGCCAAAAAATGAGGAGGAGAGGACACATACAGGGAAAGAGGAAGTAGAAAATGGGAGAAAATGTTCTACCACCTGGTAAGACATACTACTGTGGGTGGAGAACAGATCAAAGGAACAATAACTTGCCTATCCAGCATACTTCCAGGGAAACAAGTAGAACCACACAGAGGCACCAAAATATACACTAGCATCTACACATAATTGGAAACACAGAAATTATGAGATCTTGCCAGGAGAAACCAACCGTAAAAAGTTAAGAGATGGGATATCAGAAGATAGCAACTCCATTCAATTCCTTCATTGCAAATAAGTTTTTCTTTCCCTGACCATTTATGAAATTTCACATACCAGTAGCCCTTGATTATGAACCAGTTTCATTTCTAAGTTTGTCTTTAAGTCAAATTTGCACATGTGTCAAGACAATCACGTATGGTTCCTATCAGATGTTTGTCTTATAATACAGCACAAAGTGTCCCTTTCAAAGTATAGAAAATATTAAAGAAACTCTTCCAGATATGCTAAAACAACAATATAGTAATAATAAGTTTTGATGGACATCACAAGATAGTATTCATCTATTTTTAATTTTTAATAGGCTTTGTGGAGAGGATTAATTCATAACTAGAGGTACATAAGTCAGACATTCATAACTTATGGACTACCTGTTAATATAGAAAGAGAAGAAAATTAATTTAAGATCTTGGCTTTCCAAAATATGGACACCAGATTAAGGACATATAGCAGGAAACAAGTAATTATCCAATCAGTAATTTAACAAGACTGATCATAATAACACAAAATGTCAGGTTGCATTATGTACATAAAATATATAAATATGGATATTAAAGGGACTTCTGGTGGCCTTGTAGGAAGAAGCTGTGCTCCAATCCCGAAGGCACACACAGTTCAAATCCACCAGCTGCTCTGAGGAAGAAAGATGGGCAATCAATCTCCTCCTGGGCGACTAACTGCCTCTGAAAACTCGCTGGAAAGTCAGCTATGGATTGACTTGATGGTACACAATAACATGCATATTAAAGGATAAAGTACAATGAAGTGGGAGCCCTGAATGGCACAAAAGGTTAATGTGCTGGCTGCTAAATAAAGGTTGACAGTTTAAGTCTACCCAAAGACAATTCAGAAGAAAAATCACTAACAATTAACTTTTAAAAAAAAAAATCAGTCAGTAAAAACCCTATGGGGGGGAAAAAAACCAACCCTATGGAACATAATTCTATTCTGACATACAGGGGTGCTTTAAGTCAGAATCAACTTTATAATAATTTAATAATAAAGTTTTCACCTTAAAGTTAAGGATATAAACAGTACAGTCAGTTTCAACGGTATAATATCTATTTGGCCTCTAGAGGGCAAACTTGGCTTTTGGGCAAAACTTTAGCCAAGGGAAGTTATTTTCAGACTATCATAAAAAAACTGAAATCTAAGATATCATTAGAACAGAGGCTTAACAACCTCTTAATAGTACCCTTAGTTACTGTCTCAGTAATTTTTTTTATGTCACCACCTTGACCAAAACAATATGCTTAATATAGTTTTGTCAGAATTCATGTGCTAATATTTAGTAACCATTTGAAAAAATGATATAAATCAATTGGAGAAAAAAGTTTTATTTTCTTTTTCAAAACATACACACAAGCACGTGGGCATGCACACACACTGAGCATGTATATCTGTTGGACATTGAACAATTTTCTTAAATCTTGAAATCATATCCTCATTTCTGATTTCACATTGTTTTTCAGTTTCTGATTTTCATTACAACAACCTCAGAAAATCTAGATTCAAAAAGACAAGATGTTACACAAAAGAGTGACTTGCCAATCTAATGCTGAAACCGTATACCACTTCAAGTTGACAGCCTGCATGGTACCCAAGACATACGAAGTAACACTGTGTTTTCAAAATTAGTGGTTAAGAGGTGTGCTGCCAACCCAAAAGCAGAGAGTTCAAATCCACCAGTTGCTCCTTGGGAGAAAGATGGGCAATCTCTTCCAATGTGATTTACACCTTCTGAAAGCCTGCAGGAAGGTCAGCTATGAACAGGCTCTGACTTGAGAGCACATTAAAAGAATATCAACTGTGTCTTAAAGAGTGCTGATCATGATCAAACAGTCAGGAGTTCAAAGATGTGGCACGCTGCTGCAATAAAGAGTACAGCCTGGAGAACTCTAAAGGCAATTCTACTCTACTGGTTCACTGTGAGTTTGAATCTATTTGATGGGCTTGGTTTGAGGTTTTTAGGGTGCTCCTGTATGTAACCAACAGTGTACCAAGGTGCCAAGGCACTTTATCATTTTAAGTATTAGCAGCTATAAAAATAAGCAACTAAATTTTTGGTAATGAAAATTAAAACATGGTTTTTTTAAAGATCTAAACACTTTTTTTCCTGTGTTACTTAGGAAATTAGATTTTTTTTTGTTATTTAGGCTCTTTTTAAAAAAACAAATAAAAAAACCCAATAAGAACAATAAATCCCTAGAGAAAAATTTTCCCATTTGGATGATTATTATTGCTTATTGATAACTGCTTATAAATGCTGGTTGTGGTCAATCTGGTAAACCACAGCAATCGGTTTATTATGTATCTCCTTCAGAACATTAATTTCTCTGCATTCAAAACATTGCAAATTCCACCAGATGCTCTGCCGGGAAAGGAGGGACAATCTCCTCCTGTACCAGTCAGATCTGATTTGACGGTACACTCACACAAAAATAATAAAATAAAATAAAAAAATTCTTAAAAAAACAAAAAAAAACCATTGCAAATTAATCCTGTCTCATTACTTTCTAGTCTCACTGATGTCTCGTAAGGAACAAGTCGTAAGTTAGATAAGATATGAAATGCTTAGAACTCAAAGACGTGGATAATAGAAGAACTACACATATTAGAAGAACTGGATCTTACATTAGTAGAAATGGATTTGCACCCAGTCTTCTCACTTAAGAAGGCCTTAGATTAGGCAGAACATTATAGAAGCTACAAAGGCAAAAGTTCAACCTCACAATTTACTCATTTTTGCTAGTTACTGCTTCATCAGTTTATAACTACCAAGTCTCATACAATCTGTGCTTCGGGAAAATGCTGCCATTTGGGAGTCAAAGTACAGTGAGACCGATTAGCTACATGATAAGACGAGGGGGTGGTGACAAGGCAGGTAAGCCATCCAAGAAGTAACTGGGAAAGAAAATAAAAGTTTAAAGAATTTTTAAAAATACAAAATGTTAAATGAAAATACACGGGTTTTAATAAAAAAACTTAGGTTTCTATAATGTCTACAATCATTATAGTTTGTATCCAGAAAAAAAAAAAAGAATAACACTAGAATATGCCTAATTATCAAGGAAAGAATGCCTGAAAAGTAAAACAAACCACATGGACACATTCATACTTACCTGCTGAATGATTTTGGAAGTTTTCTGAAGATTCTCTCGGGGAGGAACTTTACCAAATAATTTCCAGCCAGGCGCACTAGGGGCAACTGATTTGAGTTCCTTTGTCTTTTTTGGGAAAAGGTTTCTGAAACACAGAAAAGTTATATGAATTGTGCTTTTTCTAACCAGGATACTGTTTTAACAAAATAGAATATTTTAACAAAAACAGACACTAATCTACTAACCAATGTAAAAGAAAAGAACTTTCAAAAAATATACTTCAGAAAGAAAGAAGATTGTCACAAAATGTCTAAGACATTTCACAAAATAGTGAGGGGAAAGTAAACCTGAGATGAATGTAATCAATGGTTCTTTAAATAAACATAAAATTCTCCTCACGGGACCAATTGGCAGCACCATGATAGATGGTGAAGAGATCGAGATTGTTAACAGCTTTAGTTTGCTTGGCTCCACAATCAACACTCTTGGTATCAGCAGCCAGGAAATAAAAAGATAAATTGCATTGGGAAAGTGTGCTGTCAGAGACTTCTCCAAAGTACTGAAGAGCAACAATGTCAGTCTAGAAACTAAGGAGCACCTGATACAGGCCATAATCTTTGCGATTACTTGCTATGCATCGGAGAGTTGGACAGTGACTAGGGATGACAGAAGGAGAATTGATGACTGTCAGCTGCAGTGCTGGAGAAGAGTGTTGAATATATTATGGACTGCTGGGAGAACAAACAAGTTTGTCCTAGAGAGGGTGAGAGCAGGCTTGCTTCTTGAAGGCAAGGATTCTGAAGCTTTATCTGAATACTTTGGACATGTTATAAGGTCCTTGGAGAGGGACCGTCATGCTTGGGAGGGAAAACCCTCGGTGAGAAGGACTGATTCAGTGACTGGGGTGATGGGAGTAAGTGTGTCGGAGACAGTAAGATTGGCACAGGATAGAGCAGGTTTTAGGGCTGCTGGTTGCTATGAGTCACAGATAATTCGATAGCACATAACAACAAGAACAAAAATTCAAATCCATAAATGTTTCTTTTATTTTTCCTTATAGTTTGTCTAGTTCTTTTTTTCTCTCTTTTATGTTTTCTTTTAAAATTTTTAATTTTTGTTGCACATTTTCTTTCATTTCCCCTCCCTCCAGTCTGTTCTTGACTTTGTGTTCTTTAATAAAATTTTTAGAGACGGGATTTTAATTTTTTTAATAGTCTTGTTAATCTTCTGACTGGAAATGTAGATAAATTTGGGGTAAACTGATGATGTTATGGTAATGTCTTTGTGAAGAACTCTGACTATTTAATTAAGGCCTTAATAAGTTTCACTGTGTCTGTGGTAATGAGGCAGGTGTATCAGAAACAGTGAGACTGGCTCAGAATAGGGCACAGTTTAGAGCATGGTTTAGTTCATGGGATCACTGTGGGCTGTGTAGACTCAACAACCCATAACAACAATAATGTTTCAGTAAAATTTTATCATTTTCTCCAAAGAAATAATCTTAGACACATAGCCTAGATTTTTCTCCAAAAAATAATCTTAGACACATAGGCTAGATTTATTTCTATTTTATTTATCTTTCCTTTTTTCCAGCTTGACATCGTTGTTCTTCAGTACTTTGGAGAGGTCTCTGACAGCATACTTTCCCAATGCAATTTGTCTTTTTATTTCCTGGCTGCTGGTACCAAAAGTGTTGATTGTGGAGCCAAGCAAACTAAAGCTGTTAACAATCTCGATCTCTTCACCATCTATCATGATGCTGCCAATCGACCCAGTGGTGAGAATCTTTGTTTTCTTGATGTTGAGCTTCAATCCACACTGAAGTCTGCAGTCTTCCAGATGAATGAACAAATTTATCTTAGAAAAAATACAGCCAGAATGCTCTCTAGGCAAAAATGTTGAGACTTTGTCTTATATGCTCTGGACACATTATCCGGAGGGACCAGTGGTTAGGAATGTACATTGTGCATGGCCAATCAGGGGAGGGGCAACAAACAAGAGGAAAGCCCTTAATAAGAAGGGCTAAAACAATTGGCTCCAACACAGCAAGAGTTATGTGGATGGTACAGGACAAGGTAGCACTTTGCTGTACATGAGTTGGTCATATTTGAAGCTTCACTGAATTTATGAAAGAAAAAAAAATACGACCTGACTAATAAAGTAGATACAGTTATTTGATCAAACAGACTATAAATAAAAGATGCTGTTTTACTAAAAAGCAGTAATAACCAAAGACCAGAACTTTTTCCATATGTAGAGATTTTCAAGGAACTTTGCAAGTGGCTGTATCTCTTACCACTCTTTACCTCAAGCTCAGAAATATTATAATCACAACCAAACATATCCTTGAAATTAATAAAAACCCCTATCTAAAATACCTTGCCACCTATATATCTTGTAAACTCTGTTACTACTAAGAAATTTCCATAAAAGAAATAGCAGCTCCCAGGTATCGAATTGCTAAGAAAGATAATCCAATAATGTTCCATTTTAATTTTTAATGCCACTAAGAAATTCTGAATTGGGTTTTGGACTGTCTGTCCCCTGCCACAAAAATACTTATACTAAAACAAAGTTACATAGCATAGATCTATAATGAAAGGAAATCTTAAAATATTATTACAAGTATACAGTATTGTTAAATAGACTGGTGAGCCCAAAGACAAACCTAGCAATGTATTAGTTAATAAGAGAGATACAACAAAAGGCCAATTCTGCTTTCTCATCCCTTGTTTCTCTTCTGTTTACACCGTATCCTTCACTGTTAGAGGACTAATGGCATTGAGATCACAATGTAAATAAACCTGTGTGACTAGGTTCCTCTTCAATACTTTTTCTAACACAAGAAACTGACAAACAAAAAGTCACACACAGACACACATTCTCTTTCTCCTCTCCTCCAATATATTAAAATATAAAGGCTTTTTGGTCTAATACATTAATGGATGAAAGCATGAACACACAAAAGAGAATGATTCTTTCTCCCCAAATTCTAGTGGCAGAACTTGACTGAATGAATGAGATTTTTATGACAGTGCTAGAAGAAGGGGTCACTCTTTTTCTAGTCTCCACATTTTAGGGGAAAAGAAGTTCAGTCATCAGGGAGCTCTAGTGGCCTAGTGGTAACAATCTGCACTGTGATTCCTAAATTCATGGTTCTACTACACCAGCTGTTCCACGGGAGGAGGACAGGCAATCTCCTTCTGTGTGGTTACTGCCTCTGAAAACCCATTGGCGGGGTCAGCTGCGGGTCGCTTCTGATTCAATGGCACACAATACACTTCATTCTTCAACACTGAGTTTTGGTAGTAGACATTTCTGTCTATTAACAGATAAAACTCAGTCTGTCTACTCTTCCTGTTATAAGGCCACACTTCCTTTATACTCTCTTCCTGCCTATTTTACAAGAAAGGCCAGCTGTACTAGACACTGGCTAAGTAAATTTAACTCAGGTAGTAATGCACATCTAACCCATGCTTTTCCATCCAAATTTTGTCAACACTAGTGTTTTTTTTTATGTTTCTGCTGTTTCCTATGTGTTTTTCATTTTGACTCCAAGATTGCTGGTTTCTCCCAAGACATGACAGTAAAGTTTCTAAGTTGAAAAGTATTTTATTGTTTTCAAAAATGTCATAAATATTAATAAATACTAATAGATATTTTCTTGTTTTCCTTCAGTTTGTGACACACGTTGTCAGTCACATATGATGCTGTCACTGGATGCTATCAAGCTGATAAGCTCACATTCAACAAAGGCCTGGTCCTGTGTGATCCTCACAATGCTGCTGTGCTTGTGTCCACTGCTGTAGCCACAGTGTTGCTCTATCTCGTTGGGAATCTCCCTCTTCTTGGCTGACCCTCTAGCAATCACAATGCCTTATTTCAGAGAGGTTTCTCCTGGTAACACATCCAAAGTATGAGAGGCAAAGTCTCACCATCTATGCTTTTAAGGAGCATGCAGGCTGCACTTATTTCAACAGATTTGTTTGTTCTTTTGGCAGTCTGTGGTATATTCAATATTCTTCACCAATACCACAATTCAAAGAAAGCAATTACTCTTCAATTTTCCATCTCCATTTCCAACTTTCACATGCACATAAGGGAAATAAAAATACCGCCATGATTTGGAGAAGACCACCTTAGTCATCAAAATGACATCCTTGCTCTTGCTCTTCAGCACTTTAAAGAGATTCTTGGTAGTTAAATTGCAGCAAGTCTTTTGATTTCTAGACTGCAGCTTCCATGGACATTCTCTGTAGTGCCAAATAAAATTCCTGACAACTTCCATCTTTACTTCTTTTACTGAGATGCTATTTATTGGTCTAATTGTTAGGATTTTTCCCTTGATGTTGAGATATAGTCCATACTGAAGATTATCATATTTGTGCTTTCAGTAAGTGCCTCAAGTTGTCTTTGTTTTTTGCAAGTAAGATTGTTTTATCTGCAGAAGCATAAATCATTAGTCCTCTCCCAATACTGTTAATGGCCAATCCTCCTTTGCGCATAGGCTGTTGCTATTTAGTTGCTACAGAGTCAGCTCCAACTCACAGCAACATGCACAACAGAACAAAAACCTAGCCAATCCTGTGCCATCTTCACAATCTCTACTGTGCTTTGAGAAACAGCACTTTAAACCTACTATACTGCTGAAAGCATCAAGAAGAAAAAATTCAAAGAAAGAGATAAAGGAAAGAATAAACATAGGAGGAAAAGGAAATATAATTAATGTGGGAATAAGAAAGGGAGGAAGAAGTAGAATACAAGAACTTCTTAGTGGCATTGGCATTATAAAGTAAAAGTAAATGATGGTGGTTTTTGAAATGTTTTCTAATATTTACTTCACAAATCTATGTCCACCTGCACTTTTCCCAATTTTTCTTCTTTTACTACAAACAAACTGGAGCTCTGGTGGTCAAGTGGTAAGGAGCTGTGCTACAATCCCAAAAGCATATGGTTCTAATCTATCAACTGCTCTATGAGAGAATAGGCAATTTCTTCCCATATGACCTACTGCCTCTGAAAACCTGCTTGAGGGTCAGCTATGAGTCAGTTCTGGTACACAACAACAAACAGTTACACATGACAGAAAGTAATGTAAAAAAATCACATTGTTTTCTTAGACTGGAATCTGACACTAAAGGAAAA